GGAACAATTATGAACCCTCGAGGTGATGTTCTCAGGCTTGATACCGTATCCGATCTCAACGAGGAGCAAGTGAAGAGGTGAGCGTCTCCGAGCTCATTGTAACACTCCTGCGGACATTTTCACCATAAATCTATAGTGCTCGAAATAAATTCAAGTATATTTTTTTTGAATAGTGCTGCTCAGCAGGACTCACTCCTAAATTTACAAGCGACATTGATGTTAGCGGAAATTTGGCAAACGCTATACAGCTCAAGCTTGAACTTCAGAAGGGAAAGGCGTCGGAATCCTTGTCGGACTTTTCTACCGCATTCCTTTTTTTACGGAAAACTGCTGGCATTCAGCATTCCTCTAGAAGTGAACCGCATAGTCCGAGCTCGCTGCAATATCTCCCCTGTGCTGCCCTGTCCTCGAAATTTAGCCCATGTTGTGATCGAAATACTTTCCTAGCAGCAGATTTAGCCGAAACTTTGTCCTAGAAGGTATTCTGATCCTTGAACACGACAATCGCATCTGATTGAAACGGAAAAGCGCAGCGCAGCGCTTCACAGGCGGATTTGACGCCGGCGTTCGTGGCGTATCTACCAGGCATTTCCGCGTTAAGCGCATATGATAGCAAAGCGAAGCAATATGGTATTCGGCTCGAAGGTGGAAGGGGGTGGGGGGGGTGAGGGTGGGCTTAAGGGGTCAAACTTAACTCTTCAAACACCTTCTTCGAGCAGCTACACATGCGGTGTACTTTCTCTGTACTCATTTGTGTTGGGCCCAGCCATCTCTGGCGCGGGCTGCCAGCGGCCTCGAGAGACGAGGACGTGATATTCGCTGTACGGAAGCGGAAAATCAAGGCTTAGGGGACAAAGTTCACAGATAATTCTGACTCTGCGCTGAAAGTTTGATGAAATTACTGGAAGAGGATTTTTGAAGCAGAGCAGGCAGTTTCAACATTTCAACTGGCTCCTGAGAGAAAGCGTAATGAAGTCCGCGCTTGCAATTGACTATTGCATTCAAAACAACCAGCCAATCATAAGCATGCTTGACACACACTTGTATCCCAGATCAAGAGATCAGGAAACCCAATCAATAAGTCAAATTGGAAGAGGATAACCCATGCGGAGGACTATGTCAGGGAGAAAAAGTGTTTCTGAAAACTTTACGGAAAGAAAATAGGATACCACTCAATTACAGCGAGGGTCCGAGTTCTTAAAAATGTCACTCTTCCCTCTTCCATTTTTGAGCAGGAATAAATTTCATGATGAGCTTTTTCCGACCCGATTGCATTGCTCGCTTGATTTCAGGTTACTGAAGCCTTCTCAGGATCTTTTTCGCGAACTAGTTACGTACCCATTCAAGCGATTGATGCCAAATGAATTTGAACTATTGTACATGGTTATTAGCTGTATGTTCAATGTAAAAAGTAAGTTATCCATAAATCTTTTGTGCTTTAACGTTCATTATTTGATTGTTTGCACTATTTCGGGGGTCTTTTGAAGAAACCCGAAATCGCAAGTGTGTTCGGTCGTGTAAATCACGATAAGAGCGACATAAATTAAGTAATAAATAGATGTGATATGATAACTGATGTGCAGTAGCGCTGAATTAAATTAGATTTCATTGCTGTGAAAAAAAGATGGCCCACAGACCCCACGTACGCAGTAATCAACAGGAGGATGCGGAATTAAATTTGCGGCTTATAGATGAAATTCGGAATTGAAAAATGACTGGCCGGTAACAGGACATAAATTACTCGAATATTGAGGGAAAAGCGCGCTTTCACCTGGGTAGATCAAAAAGATCACTCGGCAGTGGTCGACACTCTCTGGAGATGCGCCACGCACTCTACCCCCTTTTGGAAGAGCAGTGTCTTTCGAATGTATTTTGCTAAAGGGAGTGTAATTCAAGACATCCGAGGCACGGTATGGCGCTAATTTCAGCATTCCTAAAGGCTTAAAGGCAGTCGTCACGATTTGGTACTTGGCCTCAAATGCTAGCAGGGAGCTGTATAGCAGGGGAAAATGGCGAAAAACGAAGTGAAACGGTCAAAACCTGCGAAGAAAAGCCTTCGTTCTTAATGACTCAAAAGCAATTTCGGACGAGTTTCCCGTAGGCATCTTGCCAATAACTGCGGTAGGTACGGCTGCACGTATGTACTCATATATCCATGCAGCACCGCAGCCGCTTCATACCAATCCCTTCGCTTCATATTTTACTTAGCAAATGAAGCAATACGAGCATCAGGTACGGTCGTCCATTTGTGGGCGGGCGGGCGTGGTGGGCGTTCGGGTCGGTATGTTGTAGCTTGATAGGGCCCTTATAAGGGTACCTTCCTTGGAAAAGGCGCTACGCAGCGCCTGCTCAGGGTCGCGGAATTCCGTCCTGCCAGGCGTATTATCCTACTCGTCTTAGGGATTTATCGTGCCAACTGCCTTTAAGTTGATCCTACAGAGCCCATCAGCAGCACATCAAGCTAGTCACGGCAACATACGTTAAGATTAAGTAAACGGCATGGAACGAGATTGCGAGATATGGGCTTCCGTACGCATAAATTTGACGCTAAACTACTGGGACGAGTCAACTAACTAGGAATACTATCTGGTTCGCGCACGATGTCGTGCCTCGGATGTCCTGAAAAGGGATGTCGTTTCAAACAATAATATGTAACAAGTCTTGTAATCTAATCAAAGGGTGGAAAACTTGGTTGACCCGAGTCGGTAAGATGTCCGACCACCGATTGCGCACGCGTGTACGTTGGGCACCAGTTCCAGAAAACCCACCAAATTAGGATATGGATTTAAGGCTCTAATCCTGTGTTCACAGTCGAATGCTGTTTTACTCTAAAGTCCAGTAGATAAGTTTGCCATTAAAGGCAGACGCAATGAGCCAGTGAAAAGCTCGTTGATGGCGGGGTTGGATACAGAAATGTACGTGGTAGTTGAGTTGCTTGTAAAAGAAGAGGAGGTTAATTTGACTACGTTCTAAATGAGCCCCTACTTGTGTTGAG